TCCTCCTGCCCCCCATCTCCTCCTGCCCCCCATCTCCTCCTCCTGGCCCCCCATCTCCTCCCGGCCTCTTCTCTGGCTCAGGAAGTGACCGTGGAATCTTCTAGCTCTGGGGGCTGAAAACCTTAGCCTCTCCCTCCTTCTTGTCCCCGTCACATGGTGATCATTAGCTGTTCGCTGTGGTCACCAAAATTCCCGACAAGGAGGAGCTGGGGGGACAAGTGCATTTGGGTTCCGAGGTGTCAGTCCACAGGCGCTGGCTCTGGTGCCCGAGGCCCAGGCGAGGTGGGGCGTGGGGCAGGGCTGGGGGGCGCAGCTCCTGGGGGTCAGGACGCAGAGCAGGAGGAGAGAAGGCCCGGGGCGGCAGGTCCCCCCACCGCCTGCTCAGCCCCAGTCACTTACATGGGACCCGCTGCTCAGGTCACACTGGCCTGGTGTTTCCTGGGAATAACCCTGCACCAACAGGAGCTGGGGGACACTCCGTATCCAGATGGTGACCCCCACCCCATCACGTCCGTCTTTCTCAAACAGTCGTCCGCGGTGTCCACGGGGAACCTGGTTCCAGGGCCCTGGGACACCAGCACCCACTGAGCTGGAGGCTCTTATGTAAACCCTTTACAAATGGTCCACGCGGGTCCCCTGCGCGCTGTCACTCACCGCTAGACCTGGGGCGCCAACCACAAGGTAAACGCTACGTGGGTGGCTGTCACGCGGCGTTGCTTGGGGAAGGTGACTGTGCTTGTCTAGTACAGGTGGGGTGTGTGTGTGTGTGTGTGTGTGTGTGTGTGTGTGTGTGTGTGTGGTGCGCTGGGGACAGAACCTGGGCCTCGTGAACGCCAGGCAAGCGCCCCACCACTGAGCCACATCCCCAGACCTCGGATGCAAGTTTCTTCTTAAGTAGCTATTTTCAAGCAACGCTGAGTAGGACGCAGGGACACAGATGGGTAGGGAGGGCTCCTGTGCCTCCAGGACCTGACCCCGCGTGTCCTCCTCACTGTGGCCCGCGCCATGCCTCTGCCCACGTCCTCCTCTCTCCACTCCTGCCCTCCACAGTCCATTCAGATGGCAGCCTTCCTCTGCTCACCCTCAGGCCCCCCACATCTGCAAGCACAACAGCCCACAGGTCCCTTCCAAGATCACTAACACCTTCCCTTTGTGGGCCACCTGGCGGTTCCGAGAACACGTCTGCTCTTTCTTCCTCAGGGCCCTTGCACGGGCTGCTCCGTTGGTGCCGAATGCTCTTCCAGGCATTCCCGCATCTTACCCTCTCGTGCCATTCAGTTCTCGGCTCCAAGGCCACGCTGCGGAGAGGCCCCTTCCTCCTCCACTCCGATTGCCATGGCACACTGTGTCAGACGAGGTGACCAAGCACCGTCTTTCCTGGTAGAATGTCCACTCCAGGCGGGGAGCGGCACGCCAGTCCAGAGCGGCTCCTGGTGCTGAGTGGGACTCGGCAGGGCCGCGCAGTGGGAGTGCTCAGAGGGTGTGGCTCGGCCGCTGTCCTGGGAGCTGCTCCCTGCAGCCATGGGAACCCAAATGTTCTCACAGTCAGGGTCCAGGGGAGAGGTGGCCCCGCTCCCACCCTCCTGCCCCAGGCCTCGTCAGTCAGCCGTCAGCCCGGGGCACCCGATGGACAGCGGCCCTGCCGGTGTCTCCTGCCCACMAGGGCTGAGGAAGCAGTCAGTCTCCCGGGTCTTGTGCAGAGTCTGCTCCCTGGAATGGCGCCCAGGCACCTGGGTCTCCGTCACCGCGGCTGATTCTGTGTGAGGACACCATCCCGCGGCCTGTCAGGGCAAGGACAGGCCGCTGGCCTCTCCCCTCCTCTGTCTCCCCTGCTCTGAGGCCAGAGCTCCTTAGAGGCAAGGAGGCCGAGTCTTTCCTCCAAGGGAGACCCTGGCCAGGCCCTGACGGTGGTCATGCTCGATGGTGATGGGCAGCTGTAGCGGCTGTCCAGGGTCAGAAGCAGAGAAGGTGGCCCGCAGGGTGACAGCCCAGGAAYGCAGCCTCCGGGCTGCCCGGCCTCCCTGGAGGCTCTGGGAAGCACTGGGTCTGGGAGTCGCTGTGGCTGGGATGATTCACACCCCACAAGATGACTCTGTGAGCCTTTCAAGGGACGTCCCCACAGCCATCGGGTTTCCCTTCAGTGGCATTTATCTAAGAGTGACACTGAGTCCAAGAAGAGCACAGTGTGACAGTTCTCACCAACACACACGGTCGTGTCCTCACTGCCCCAGTTCAGCCACTGTCCCTGGGTGAGCCCTGCTCCCACCTCTGGCTGCTGGTGGCCCCCCGTCTTGCCGTTTGCAGAGGGTCACCTCAGTGGAGCAGCTCTGCGCGTCGGCTGGCACCTGGATTCCTTCCGGGGCACCTCAGGGGTCCTGCTGTGGTTCCACTTCACCACCAGGGGCCGCGGTCCATCCAGCGAGAGTCGCGCTCCGCATCCTGCTGAAGCTGTGCGGCTGACCCCCGTCTGGGGAAGAGATGCAGAAAGGCCCCATGCAGCTCCCGCTGGATAGCGTGAGGTAACAAGGCAGGCGTGTGGTGGCTGAGCCTGTTTCAAAGCTTCCCCATTGTCACCCTCGCCCACCACCCGATCCATCCCCACCTCCTCTTCCCCACCTCCTCGCCAGCACTTGGAATGGGCCGCTGGAACCTTAGCCACCCACAGGTGTGCAGAGCGCCACCCTGTGGTCATGAAGGGCGTTTCCCCCGTGACCAATAATGAGGAGCATAATTTGGAGCCCCGGGTTGCCACCTGCGTGTTCTGTGGCAGTGGAGCGCGAATCTCTTACCCCCTTGAAACACGGGCCGCTGCTCTCCTTGTTGGGTTTGGAGAGTTTATTCTGTTTTTTGGATCCAGTTGTTTATCAGGTGCTCGACCTGCAGACATTTCCTCCTCCCTCCCCAAGGAGACGTCTTTTCATTCTCTCTCTCTCTCTCTCTCTCTCTCTCTCTCTCTCTCTTACTGGGGATTGAACCCCAGGGGCACTTAACCGTGGAGCCACATCCTCAGCCCTTTTTTGACATTTTATTTAGAGGCAGAGTCTTGCTGAATTGCCGAGGCTGGCTTTGCACTTGTGATCCTCCTGCCTCGGCCTCCGCTGCTGCTGGGGTCACGGCTGCTGTCTTCATCCTCTGAGSGGCGACCTGTTGGTTGGGTCTCGCGGATCGGGGGCTTCTCGGGTTACGTCTGGGTTATGTATGTGTCTTTGCCTTCCCCAGTGATGGTCTCCTCGGTTTTCTTGGAGACCCCACATGTTGGGTGGGACTGACTGTGAGTCCCCTGCGTGGCGTGGCGTGGCGTGGCGCGTGGACTGAGGTCTCTGCGTGTGTCCCCGTTGCTCTCCGTGGATGGTGGTGGAGACGTGCATCCTCCGTTCAGCGGTTGCTGTCGAGGTCACCACTGCTCCCGCGTCCGTGTGACTCTCACCAACACCACGCCGTGTGACCCTGCGGTGTTCCTGGAGGCCAGGTGGAGGTGGCTGTCCCCCGTTTACCATGCCGGGTGGGGTCTGCTTGTCCCTCCTCTGCTGTGAGCCACCCCACCCTGTGACACCTGCAGCCTTCTCGTCCTGCTCGGGGCCTCTGGGGTCTGCTCCGGCCTCACCCTCAGACCCCCTCCTTAGTCGTGGGTCCGGTGTTGTCCCCGTGCCTCCGTTGCCCTGTCTGGACAGCGGTGTGACAATGGGGCGTGGCTGGAGGGCGTGGCGGGGATGGGGGCCTGTGTTCGTGGGCACAGGGGAAACGGCTGAGCTGGTCACCACAGATGGTGACTTTAAATAGCTCTAACTACGGCCCCGCGTCCTGGGTGGAGGGGACCAACTCCAGACCTGGCAGCTGGCTGTTGCCACCCGGTCACCCCTCCGTCCAGCTCCTCTGCTGTCCCATGTCATTGCTGCTGTTGAGGGCGGTGGCCCCTCCACTGCTCACGGGCAGCCAGCGCCTCCTGTGACCCACTCTGTGTCCAGTCAGCAGAGGTCAGCAGAGTGGCCCCTGCTCTGTGTGATGGGCTCGTGGGGGGACACCACAGGAGTCGGCTCCGTGGGCAGGACTGGGGATGGCAGGGTGGACGAGGCCCGTGGGGTGGCCAGGGGCCCCGGATGGGAAGCGTTTCCAGACACGGTCAGGCCTCGTGCTCCGGGGCAGCAGGGCCAGCGTCGGTCGGAGGTGGTCCCAGGGTGGAGGGTGGGAGCAGCCAGGTGGCCTAGGATGGTCCTCCGACAGTCCACCCTCTCCCTTGGCAGGTGACTCTCGCTCTCCACTGGCCCGTGGACACCCGCCTGGAAGCCACCTCGCCTCCCCCTGACCCCCGCCATGGCYGCGAGAACCATCATCATTGACCACGGGTCCGGCTTCCTGAAGGCCGGGCTGTCGGGCTGGAACGAGCCGCAGATGGTGGTGCCCAGCATCGTGAACTACATGCCCTGCAGGGAGAACCCCGGCCCCAGCTACGCCCAGAGGCGCGTGAGCCTGGGCATCGACATCTGCCACCCCGAGACCTACAGCTACCCCATAGAGCGCGGCCGCRTCCTCAACTGGGACGGCGTGCAGCACATCTGGACGTTCGTCCTGGAGAGGCATCGGCAGGGGCACGAGGACTTCCCCGTCATGATCACCGAGACGCCCCGCAGGGAGCCCACGGACCGAAAGAAAACCCTGGAGGTGAGGCCCCGGGCGGGCTGCGGGCCCCTGTGACCCCGGGATCCGTCTGCTCTCCAGATCACTGTTTCAACAGTTTTTAGAGGTTGCCACGTACCTAGTGTGTGTCGGCCCCGGCTCCGCCCCGGAGTCCTGGCCAGGCCAGCTGCGTGCTCAGTGGAGGGGGTTCTCCGGGGACTCTGGATGGCTGTCCATGAGTCCAAGGATTCTGAGTCCATGTTCTCACATTCCAGGGGAAGACTCAGCCACCAGGAAGTTAACAGATAAGAATTCCAGATGGTTCTAGAAATAAAATCAGGCGGGGAGGAGGAGCTTCTGGGGAGGGAGGGCGTGATCCAGGAGGACTTCCCAGAGGAGGTGACTTCAGCTCAGTGAACAGGAAAGGGGGTGGCCAGGGGCAACTAGGATGGTGGGGTGGGCAGGGGCTGAGCTCCCAGGCTTGGTAGGCCATAGGGAGCCCCTCGATTTTACTCTAAATCCAAGGTTGGCAAACTGTGGTCAGTGAGCCGAACCCGGCCCACCACTTGTGATTGCGAATAAAGATTTATTGGCACTCAGCCACACCTGGGCATTTGCACCTGGTCTCTGGCTGCTTTCACAGTGTGGCAGCAGAGGTGAACAGCTGTGGCGGAGACTGGCCCGTAAAATCTGAAACATTTAGAATCGTGGGTTTGCTGGGTGAGGTCCACGAAGCCTCGTGAGATTCAACTTTTAGATAAATAACAAATGATACCTTAGTGCGAGTGTGTCCCAGAGAAGGCGGGGGACACACTTATGCTCAGATATTTGTTGTGTTCACAAATTCACGCCCAGCTGGGCGCCCCGTGTGGGTGTTTGCTAAACGTGGACCCTGGTCGYGTAGCTGGGAAGTGCCCGCCAGCCCTGCCGTCCAGGACCAGAGGCCCTGGAGAGCTGTAGATGGGGGTCCTGTGTGAGCTTCTGCTTGAGGAGAACCTGGGTTGCTGTTGGGGCCACGATGGTGGAGTCGGGGACACCGTGGAGGACAGGAGAGGGGAGCCCTCCCAGTGGGCAGGGAGGGCCTGAAGGGCCAGTGGGCGGGGAGTCGGAGGCCAGAGGCTGGACGGGGGCCAGGACTTTGTGGGGTTGGGGAGGGGACTCTGCAGAGATCCGGGGGATGACGGTCAGCGGGGAGGAGCTCAGCCCAGGGCTTTGCCAAATGCTGGACCTCAGAATTCCGCTGTCTTCACCCTGGGAGCCTCTGGTCCAGGCAGGAGTTCAGCCTCGCCYGCGGGGCACGGAGCAGTGTCCCTCCTCCCTCCCTCCCCTGGGCCTGGGACTCTGCATGGCACAGTGGCGGGTTCTGCTGCCTGATGAGTCCCCTCCCCGCTTGCTGACACCGTCTTCTAGGACCACAGTTAGACAAGTCCCCGAGGGCAGACTTGGCCCCTGACTCTAGCCCCCCAGAGCCCCCCCCTTATTCCCACCGGGTGAGCACCCGGGCCCTGCACCCTGGTCCTGGGGCAGCCCGGTGGCCCCTGAGAGCGTGGGTCGGCAGCGCTGAGTGTTGAGACCTGAGGCCAGGAGGGTCCTGGGGGAGCAGGGCTGGCGCGGGCCCGGGGCTGGAGGAYACACGGAGCTTCTCCTGTTGCAGATCATGTTCGAGCTCCTGGACGTGCCGTCCCTGCTCCTGGCCGACCAGCTGGAGATGTCCCTCTACGCCTCGGGGCTCCTGACGGGGGTCGTGGTGGACTCGGGCTACGGCCTGACCCGCGTGCAGCCCTTCCACCTGGGCCGGCCGCTGCCCGACAGCGGGAAGACCCTGGAGCTGGCCGGGCAGGACCTCTCCGCCTACCTCTTCCAGAGCCTCTTCAAGGAGGGGCCCAACCGGCACGACCTGTTCCAGCTGGATACCGTCGCGTCCACCCAGATGGGCAAGTGCTACGTGCCGCAGAACCTGGGGGAGGCCCTGGACTTCCGCCAGAGCCTGCCCAGCGGCGCGGACGAGAGCAACACCTACCAGCTCCCCGACGGCACCGCGGTGGAGCTGACGCCCATGCAGCGCCTGAGCCCCGAGATGTTCTTCAGCCCCCAGGTGTTCGACCTGCAGGGACCCGGCATCCCGCAGGCCGTGGCCGAGTCCATCTCGTCCTGCGAGGCCTCCAGGCACCCCCTGCTCCTGTCCCACGTGATGGCCTGCGGCGGGAACAGCCTCTACCCGGGCTTCACCAAGCGCCTCCAGAAGGAGCTGACCTCGGGCCACTTCCCCTCCACCAAGGCCACCACGTGGGTGGGCGCCAACCGGAACTTCAGCGTGTGGCTGGGCGCCTCCGTGGTGGCCCACCTGTCCACCTACAGGTCCGAGTGGATGACCCGGGAGGAGTACACGGAGGGCATGCGGCTGTGACCGGCGCCTGCTCGGGGCCCGTCTCGCGGTGCAGGCGGATGGACTCCAGCTGTGGTCTGGGCAGCAGTTGGGGGGGGCATCAGCTGGTTTGGATTCTGGGGCCAGGAGCGGTCGTTTGGGGTTCTCAGGTTTTATCTTGTGTCAAGAGTGGGATCCAACTCAAGGGAGGACCGTGTCCCCTGTGAACCTCCAAGGGACAGTGTTCCCAGGTGGCATGTCCCTGGGGTGGGAGTGGCCCTCTGCCACCTCCACGCCAAACGGCCACTCTGTTTCCACTGTCATTGTCCCTGGGTGGTCCCATTCTTGGTTGGGGGTTTTAACTGGGGCGAGAGAGAACGGGGCCTTCTGCTGGGACCCCGAGTATTTTTGATGGGGGAGGGGGAGGGGGAGAGGGGTGACATTTCTACTTAGGGTCCCCCTGGCCGGGCGGCTCTGTGCTGCGGGTGTGTCTGGAGTGTCCTGCCTGCCCGTGCCGGGGGCCTGTTTACTATGTTCAAATAAACTACTTGTTTGGAATTGGTGCCGGCTGCTGTGTGGCCCGGCAGGGCGTGGTCCCCGGGGAGGCCCAGGGACGGTGAGCGTGAGAGAGCCGGGTGGGGCCTGGGCACAGCGGTCATCGCCACCCAGGATGGACAGGCCCAGGCCCCATTCTCCCTCCACCACGTTTCCTCCATCGTCCCCAGAGGTCTGAGCAGGTGTGGTCTCGTATGAGTCTGGTGCGTATCTGATGAATATTCAAACACCTACTGTGCGTCAGGCGCTGCCCCAGGAACCTCAGGTGCAAGGGATATAGGAGGCTTCTGTGTTGAAGAGCCCAGCACCGTGGAGACGTAGCGATAAATACGTAAACACAGCCCTCCCTCATGTCCCCGAGGATACCAAATCCAGGGACGCTCAAGTCCCACACATAAAGTGACATATAGCATGTCTGACCCACTCACCTCCTCCCAGGTATTCTAGATCATCTCTGCACGACTTGCAGCACCCAGTACGACGTGAGCGCTGTATGAACAGTCGGTTGGTTGCACTGGTTAGGAGGGGACGTGGCAGGGAAGAGTCGACACAGGTTCAGCGCAGAAGCAATCACAGAACCGGTTTCCATCCGCGGTGATCTGACCCTCGAAGGGACAACCTGTGGATAGGGAGGGCGACGGTCTGCGACGGACGGTGCAGGAGGAAATGAGTCARGGCCTGGGGGTGAGGGGTGGCTGCTCTCGGTGGCTAGACGGGGATGGAGGGAACTGCTGGAGCTGAGTCCTCCCCTCCTGGGCACACTGGGAGGTACTCTCCCTAGTCCCCGGCAGCTAGAGCTCACGCGACTCCTGGCCAGTTCAGTGTGCCCCTGACCTTAGAATGCCCATTCAGCTGCGGGGGCAGTAGAGCCCATGGGGGCCTTAGAGGGCGTAGGGAGGCAGAGTAGAGATGGGAGGAGCCTCACGACAGGATGGAGTAGGTGTTGGGCTGGGGCAGGAGGAGGACTCTGCCATGTTCAGCCGCTGAGACATGGGGGTGTTTGTTACAGCCGCTGCTTTGCTTGATCTGACAGATGTGGAGAGAGGAGCCAGGACTATTTATTTATACATGTCTTTTCTGTTTAATAGCACAACTGGGGCTTCACCCAGCCTGTGCTGTTGGCCACCGTGGAGTCTGGCTGCTTCTGAAAGGAGATCTCTACTTTCCAGAGCTGGGACAGAGTGACAGGTGTAGCGGGTGGGAGACTCAGCCCAGGAGCCCCAAGGTGTCCCGGCAGGTGGAGGAATCTGGCGGCCAGAGTCCAGCTCACCTTGTCTTGAACGTACGAACGAACGGCATCTTGTTAGCCACAGATCTCCACCCACAGCGGAGCTCTCTGCAGGCCCCAGACAGCGCAGGCATGGCGGCCGGCCSAGCCGGCGGGCAAGTCCGTGGGATGCGAGGGAACAGTGTGTCCTCCTCCCAGAGGTCTGGAGTTGAGGCTGTGCTCGGGGGAGGAGAACTCAGTTTGTCACCTACCGAGGGCCACTATAATAGGAGCTGTGACTTCAGGCTTTACATCTGAGGTCACTCCCAACAACGCAGAAGCTTCCTGGCGGCAGCGGCTGCCACCGTCTGGCCGGGCACCGTGGTGAGGGCTTTACAAATGGAGTCACACTGATCCTCAACACGCACWAGGAACTGGATTCGTCCCCATTTACAAATCAGAAACCAAGGCCCAGAGGTGTTAAGCACTTGCTGGAGCACACACTCAGTCTCTAGCCAAGTGTGAATGGTCAGAGTTCAGAATGGATTCCGCATTCCTAGCAAACCAGATCAGAAGTGGCTGAAGCAGAGAGATTTATTTGTCTTAGGAACAACTAAGCAGCTCAGGGGGACCGTGGCATGTTGATATCATCGAGGACTCTTTCTTTTTCTCCCCCCTTGGCAGATAGGAGTGTTAGGGCAAGGTCACAAAATGGCTGTGGCAGCTCCGGACATCACATTCATATTCCCTGAAGGAAAGTGAAGGGTGAATGGAGCATGCCATTGAGGTCTCTCTCTTCATATGAAGGAATCTGAGCCCGGGTTGTCCATTCTGTGGCCCGMGCTGTTGCCCACTGTACCGGGCGGCCCTCCCGGCTTTCTGGGCCCGAGAGGTTCCTTCCCAGGCTTGGGTGGAAGCCACTCGAGGGCCGTCAGGTGCTGGCAACCTGAGCAGCCGCCTTCCTGCTGGATCCCGAGTCTCTGTCCACCTGAGCCTTAAAAGGCAGAGGTGAGGAGACTCGGCCATGTGTCCACGGCGGGGTGGGGGGCCGGGGAGAGGGCTGGGCGAGGGGCACCTCCTTTCCTGCTAGCGGGGGGCCCGTGCTCAGGACCCCTCATTTTGTTCTGGAAGGAACATTTAGCCTTTCTGCTCAAGCGGCAGATCCGGCTGCTGCCGTGTAATTACGGACTTTCCTTCTCTTTCTCTCTCCTCCCCCCGCCCTGGAAGCTTTAACCCCGCTCGCTGGGTGCTGGGTACGGCTCTCTCCAATTAAGTTAAAAATAGCGGCTCCGTGGGTCGCGCAGGGCCGTCAACCTGACGCGGAGCTGCTGGCTCCCCGGGCCTGGCGGGCGGCGGGCCCAGCAGAGGCTGGCGGGCTGGGGCAGGCCTGGCAGCTGGTAGAGGCTCACGCTGCACGGCTCGGGGCTGCCTGCCAGGGCGGCCAGGTGCAGGGGGAGGCCGGGTCTTGGCAGCTGGGCGGGGGGCTGGGAGGAGCTGGCAGAGGGGACAAAGGGAGAGGCCCCAGGAGGGCCACCCCGGTTGTGAGGCCGCCGTGCTGCCAGCTTCCGCTGCCACGGCTGGGGCTTGGCGCCCGTGCATCTGCGCCTGCGTGGGGTCTGGATGCCCAAGTGCCCGGAGCCAACCCTGGCAGACGCGTGGGATTCTGCTGAGGCTGAGGACCGAGTCCACACGGGCTCCAAGCCCCGTCCTGCTGCTGGAGGGAGGCCAGCCACCTCTCCTACCAGGAGGGTCCCTCCCTGGATTAGCAGAGGGCAATGGGATGAGGGCAGAGTCTGCAGCCAGGAGCCTGGYGGAATCCCGGCCCCACTGACCTCCCGGCGCCTCGGTTTCCCGTCTGTAAAGGGGCGTCCTAAAGAGGCTCAGGGTGGTTTTCCCGGTCACCTGGGGCTTTGTGTCAATCCGCGTTTTCTTGCTGTGACAAAATACTCAGGAGAACAACTGGAAGGGGAAGGGTCTGCTTTCCCCCCTGGGGGGAGGGGCTTTCCAGGTCGCCACGCGGAGAGAGCTTGGCGAGCGCAGGGGCCCGGGCTCTCGCTCTTTGCTGGCCACCCTGCGGCACAGAGCTGACCCTGGCATCGTATYTATTTGTCCCCAGCCAGGGAGACCCCAGTGGTCCAGATGGCTAAAGCCCCCGAGGCCGCTGCCTTCCAGGGAGCCGGGGGTCACTTCCTGCCTCCTCTGAGAGATGAGGTGGAGGCCATCGGGGGCGGGAGTGGCCACGGGGTGCGGGGGACGCGGACAGCCAGAGGGTCTCCTGCTGCCYGAGGACCGGACCTTGCACATGCTGTCCCCTCTGTTGGGAATGCTTGTCCCTACCAGCTCCCTGGTCGCCCTGGACAGCCGGGTCGGGGGCTAAGGGATGGGGTGCTCAGGATGGCTGGACCCGGAGTGGGGAGGGAGGGGGCGGCTGGCAGGGCCGGCTCTTGAAGGAGGTGGCGCGTCACTCCCAGGGGTGAGGGCCGACCCTGGGTGGTGATGGGGAGCCCGTCAGAGTGGAAGGCAGAGTCGTGATGTCCTCGGCAGAACRGAAGCCCTGGGCGCAGCCTGAGAAGGGCTGGGGACACACCTGCCCCACTGCCACCTGGTGGCTCCCCTCTGACRTCTTGGGCTGGGCAGTACTTGGGGTCTGAGGGGACAACGGATCTTCCTTCCTGTCCTCTGGCAGCCAGGGGCTAGGGAGTGCGTCAGAGCTGGGTGGTGGCAGGACTTGGGAAGAGCCGTCCCCAGGGGGGGACAGTGAGGGATCAGCTGGGGAGCAGCTGTGCCTGCCCCCGCCKGGTCGGCCCAGTTCCCTGCCCTTCTTTCAGCACCGTGAGGGCTGGACAGCTCCGTGGCGGCCACCTCCTTCCACCCCCCATTCAGGACTTCCCGGAAGCCCTGGGTGGCAGAGAGGACCGCGCTCCAGCCTTGGAGTGTCACCCGGAGAAGAACCGCTCTGCCTTGTTCCGAGGCCTCATCCATAATGCGTCAATAATRGCACTTAACCTCGGAAGGCTAATACGGGAATTAAAGCCATTTATCCAGTCACTGAATATTCATGAGACACCTGCTGTGCGCCCCCACCCTTCTCTAGACTCTGCTAAATTGAAGAAAGTGGCTGAGCGCAGAGCCGGCGTGTAGTAGGTGCTCAGTAAGCACCTCATTGCTACAAGAAGCCCCCAACAGGGCCGGGGCTGGGGCTCCGTCCTGGTCCCTGCGAGCCCCTGGGCCTGGAAGACAGAAGAAGCCACAGAAGAACCCACGGCGCGTGGCCTCCAAA